GTTCAAGACCATTCAGTATATAAGGATTCGGGAATATGGACATTCGGGATATTGGGATTCGGTATACTGTGACATTCAGGATATATGAATTCGGGAAAATGGATGTTCGGTAAAATGGATGTTTCATGCAATTCGGGAAATTAGGTTTCAGGAAATTGGCGTTCGGATAATTGGATATTTCTGTAAAAGGTCCAGTTCGGGAAATTGTCGTTCGGAAATATGACTTCGGGAAAAGGTATATTCGGAAAATTAGCATTCGGGCAATCGTGGTATAACCGAAATCTTCACAATATCGTTGGAAAAAGTGAGAATTTTTTAAAAAAAAATTTTTATATTTTTATTAATACAGAATTTTTGATAAATTTTTTTGCAGGTAAAAAAAGTTACATGCATAGATAAAATAATCATGGATATAAATTGGTAATTTTTAAGCGACAAGCTATTATTTTTATACTTAATCTCATTATTATTTTTTTTTTTAAATAAGGCGATATCAATTATTAAATAAATCAAAATTACTTTTTAAATTAAAACTTGAATATGTAAACGAAAATTGTATTTAAGATCTTAGCTTCGGTGATAGGTATAGAACCGTACCAAAACAGGACTGTTCCAACTGAAGAAACTCCTATTGAAATATCAAAGCTGTTGGACGGAAAAACAGAATTATTTAAAATGATTTCACAGGCAGGCAAATTCCAAATGTGATACTATACCAAATTCGCCCTTACCTTATCTTAGATGTTTATCATATAATAAATAAAAGCAAATTATTTTTGATGTCCATGTTTGCGCATGCAAAAACATTCGCAAAAAGTTTATAACAATTTAATAAAACAAAATCATTTATTAGATATAGGTTAACAATTCAATGCAAATATTTATTGAGAACAATATTGAAGCTTTATAGCATTGGATTTGTTTAAAGAATCGATTCAAATCCCATCTGAACTTCAAAATGAAAATTAAATTGAAATGTAATACTTGAGCAATATAAAATACACGAATAATTTGCATAATTTTCTTATTCTGAATTAATATGTCTTTATATGCCATTGATTTACTTTTCTTTATTCAGTTATAAATAGAGCAACGCTAATTGTTCATGGTAAGAGAACGGTATTGTGAATTCCGCCAGGAAATGCAGAGGACATTAATTGAGTGTTGGATACCTGATATATCAAACGAACTTATATAATATATATAATGTAATATAATAATTTAATTATTTTAAGATGCCACAGATGCCACATCATTTTGAAATGAGTACGCCTTTAAAGGTTGTAGAATTACATATACATATAGAATTATATTAAAATAAACAATTATTTTATAAATTCAGCAAGTTATGTAATTGCAGATACAAACATAATAATTTATTCGAAACAGTTTTATGAGATTAACACCATCTTATGTAGAGAAACGAATTATGCTGAATTACAAATAAGGAATTTATTGTATTGTATAACTCTAAATGTAAAAATAATTTACATTTAAGTTGATCTTTCTATCACTTGAAAGACTTCGTAATCTTCTATTTCAAATTCGCCTTCATTTTTTCTAATTAGATTTTCATAGCTGTTCTTGAAACATTGACCTTTTTTATATGTGTAAAGCAATCGTAAATCAGCCTTATTATTTCCAAATTCTGGACCATATGAATTTGAGACATAAATTGCTTGCTTTTCATTAACGACTTTACTGAAGATAAAACGGTTTGATTTTTCATTAAATGAAAAAAGAAAACTGTCTTTAGTTGTGCTATATCTTGAAGTAGTTGAATTCCAACTTATAGGATTAAATCCTCCAAGAATTTCGTATGTATCCTTAACGCTGGCAACCGTAATTGTAGGTCCTTTACCATCACAAAGACTATGAAAGATTACTACTTCAAATCCATTTCTGCTTCCGCGAACGAGTAGTTTAAAATTATAAGTACTATTATATTTGCCTTGTTTCGTTATTTTAATTGCACTACCAATTAAAAAAGCTTGGTCGGAATTAATAATCTTAGAATCAATTGTTTTAGAATCATTATCATTAAAAGAATAATGTTCAAGAATTTGAACATAGAAACCCATCTCAAAGGAATTTTTGAATGGTTTGACTTTTTGAACGAAATCTACAGGACTAATTTCCTTAAAATTTATATGTGGTATAAATAGTTTAATAACTTTTCCAAATATTGATACTTCTTTATGCGTCCATTTAGTTATATCAGATGGTAATTCATTAGATTGTGCAATACTCCACGCCATTAATTTATCCCAAATTTCAATTGGCTTTACAGAATGATTGTTTTTCACAAGAATATCAAGGAGAATTTCTTGTTTAATTGTTACGAAGTCATCTGCTTTAAAGATTAATGAGGGATCTTGTTGAATATTAATCTTATAAAATTTGACTAATTTACAAAATTGAGTAAATCTAGTTGCAACATCTTGAATGAGAACAAAATTCTGTTTTAATAATGATTTGTTATCGTTACCAAGAAGATATTCTTCAATATAAATACATAGGTCGTTAAGACATAATTCATCAGCTGCAATTAAAATTGCAATATTTGTCTTTATATCGTTGTGGGAGAGTTCAATAACGCTGCTATAAATGTATCTGATGAATTAATAAAAGATTCATAATTTAGTTTTGATATGTGATGTGATTAAATTTATATATAAAAAATATATTACTTTAAAATAATTTCAAATATTTCAACAGAAATATTCGGTTTTTGAAATTTAATAACATTTTTTTCTTTTTTTAGCCAATCGTTTGATAAAGCGGTACGGAAGTAAGGTGAACGTATTTTTAAAATTACGGAATGTGCTTTAAAAACTTTTGCATTAGATTCTTCTCCGACTAAAAGTTCGATATCAGAAAATTCACCGGATTCAAGTGCATTAATATATTCTTTAGAAGAAAGTTCCCATAGTTCGGTAGACATTTTTTCTTCAAAGGTTGAGAAAAAAAAATGATTTTTTCGGATTTATATTAAATTGGTTACACTGCATGGTGGCACCTATCACAAGAAATAAGAACAATAGCTTTATATTAAACAATAAAAAATGAATATTTAAGTTGAAAATCACGTTAACTAATTCAAGTAAAATGGCTTATCTTAATTTTAATTTAACGTAGAGTATATTCCTCAGATTGTTTTTTCCTAATTCGACCAGATTTCGATATATTTTTTTAGAGTCACCTATCCACCCAAAGACTTTTATATACAGTATAGAAAAATATTTTTTATTTATTTGTAAATAAAATATATATAAAAAATGTAATTTAGATTTCATTCGTAAATAAAAATGATTACGTTACAATATAACAAGGCTTTCGTTTTGTTACTTAACCCGTTTCTATAATTTAAACAATACGAAAGAATCGGTTTGTTATTACCGCGTTATTATAATGTTGCGTGATTGTTTAATGCCTCTGGAAAGGTTATTTTTTTATTTAATTTGATTTGATTTCTTTTTTTAGATATTTTTCTTTTTTATTCCTTTTTTTTTTTGATGAAATAAAATGAATTATATTTTTTTTTTATCGAATTTTTATTAAAATATATCTAAAAAAAATAAAAAATTATTAATAATATTAATAATATATTTTTTTTAAAGCAAAAAAAAAGACTAAATTTTTATTTCTGCTCTTTGTTTAAACGAGTTTTCGATTTTGATATTCTTTTTATTTTTTTTTTAAAAAAAAAAATTAATTAATTTAATTTGTAATTTTTACCCTAAAAAAAAAATTTTTTTTAAATACCTTTTCCCTCCAAACATTACTTCGATTTGCCGAAGCGCTGCCCTCGATTCCGCTCTTGTTTAGGTGAGTTTGGATTTATTATGATTTTTTGGTTTTTTTCCCCTCTATCGAAAGCATTAATTAATATATATTTTTTTTTATATTCTTGGTATACCGCAGTACCTGAAATAAATATTGGTTACATTTTCTTTATACAGCCGCGAAATGTCGAAATTTTCTTGGTTTCTTGGGTGTGTTTCAATTTAATTTCAATTTTTTTTTTTAACTATATCGAAAGCAAATAAATAATATTAATTTTTTTAACTTTTATTTTTAAAAAAATGTAATATACAAGACTATCGTAAATATCAAAATGACATGTAAATTCGACGCATTTTGTTACGTTCAAGATTCTACAGAAAGAATCACTCAGGATTATACCGTATTGTGATGGTAAGATAAATCATAATAAGACTATTATTGCGATCAGTTCTTTAAAGTTTATATTTATAAATGAATGTATAATATAACAGAAGGATTTTAATTATGTAATTATGAAAAATTATTTAAAAAATATTAGTACTGCCTCAACGTTAGCGCTTTCTACTCTTTGGAGTCAATTTTATTAAATGAAAATTACTATGGCTATTAAAATTATCTAATTAAAGGGAATATCAGGGAATTTCTATTTTTATTAAAATATCATATAAAAACTTGTCTCTTCTAACCCAAGCATCAATCTTACCTTTTTATACATTAATTTGAAGGGACAACTCGCCCAGAAGACAAGTTGACTAGAGATTGACCAAAGGTCAACTTACCCAGTGCATTGGTCAATTTGGCCTATGCTGATCTTCAAATCTCAGATCAGTTTATGTAAATCACTAACTTTATTAAGCAAAGCAATATGATCTAGTCATAAATTTTTATTAAAAATAATTAATACATCACATGCGTACTAGCCATTGTAACTTAATCATTAACAACGGTACGGTAATGAAATAAAAATCCTGAAAATTACATACAGTATACCTAATCTCGATGTTATAATTACTGATGATCAAGAACTAGATAGATTAAATAGGATCGGTGTAGAATCAATGTTGGGGTATTCAAGAGTTAGTATAAATTTACAAAAATTGTTATGTAGTCATTCTTGTAATCCGGAATTATTGATCGTCGGATTCTGGTCATGTCAAAATGAGTATGTCGAACTGTTGAGTTTATGATGTCGTCATTCTTAGAAGTTGGATTCTTTTTGATTGATAATTAGAATTTGCTATTATACCACTTCCAACCATGCCATGTCACAATCTAGAATAATCTAACTAAAACATTGAGAGAAACTTTTATCAATTCTGAATTCCCGAACTATTTATACAATCGTTATTTTAATTTACTAGCAGATATATAAATTTAAAATTAAAGCGTATATAATAAATATAATACAAATTACAAATATAATAAATAAACAAATATGTAAATAAACAATAAATAAAAAAATAAGATATGTAAAATAAATTTGATATGTCTGACAAGCAGACATTGATAATTTCATATACACCGCAGTTGTTGCGCCAATCGTAGCATTGACACCGAATTCGTACATTAATATATTCTTTAAAAAAAAGTTTCCACAATTGAAGACATTTCTACAAGATGGGACAAAAAATAAGATATTTTCGAATAATGCTGGGAATTTTGTATGTACAAGATAAAATATACATTGTACTTTCCTCTCTTCATTAATTATATTTATCATGTTATTATTAAAATTGTTATTTTGCTATTTATACAATTTATATATTTGATGTTTATGTTATGATTACTATTGTTGTATTATAAATGATTATTAAAATGAATGTGGGCAAAAAAATTCTAGCATGATCTGCAATATCTTACTTTGATCCTGTATTCTAAACCGGTATGGACTCATTAAGCAATATAACATACTGTAAAATTATTTTTTTTTCTTAAAATTACAATTATTAGCAAATTTAGTGATCTATGCACTTTTATCTCAGTTATAATTTTGCTTAAGATAATTAGAAATAAGTAATACTATTAATATCATGTTACAATCTTATTATGTTCTGATACGAAATCCAAAAAATCAAATCTGAACCCATCTATTCATCACATCCTCATCAGTGATAAAGTGGGTCAACCTCAGGTGACAATTAATTTTGGGATTTTCTTCTAAGGATTCATACGGACCCCAAATAAAAAGGTAAGCTTTTTCTAATCTATCGTTAATTAAATAAAATTTTCAGGACCTGCAACGATCTAGCTTGATTGTTCTTATTTTCTTTAGGTTTCTGAATCACTTTGGGAGTAATAGTTAAGGATACCTTCTTATTTAGCTATTTGTGTTAATCTTCTGGATGCAGCAATCTTATGATAGTAGTAGTAAAAACATCTCGAGCCTACCTACTTTAAAAAATCTTTGATTTTACTCGATTTTTGATCGGCAAAGTTTTAACCTAATTAATATCACAATTTTTTGAAATATTGAGGAAGTTAATCAATTTAAAATCCAAGCAATCTTAGGTGAAAGCTTGCTTTGCCTTACATAATACGTTATTCACTAATGAGATACTGCAGAAAAACCATTTATATTTAGTTTACATATAGTTTTCTTTCAGATTTAGAATAAAAAGCAGGTTTTTCATTATAATTGGAAGTCCAATGAATTGAAATGGAACGGTTTACGGTAAGCTTGGAACGATATGCCGTTCACTTACTGCGCAGATTAATTTTCGTAATCAATGGTCCAATTAATGATGCAATAATGAAAAATAATGGTATAATGAATTTGATGGTAATTTAGACTATTACATTATAAATAGACTCCTGGACTCCTCCACCTCCCAAATTTTCTCTTTCCTGCAAATTTACAAATTTGCAATTACCCATTTACGATTTTTTACCACCACTACTAATATATTATAGTATGGGGTATCACTTTTTTTCACATGGTTAATGAATGATTGGTTAAGGTTTTGCTACGTCAGTGAAAATTTAACCAATCATCCATTAATCCATGTGAAAAAAAAGTGATATTGTTCACGTACTATCGTTCGGCCTGACCATAACAAATAAGCTTAACAATAATTAAATAAACCAATTATTTAATTTTAAACTTATTTTTCACCCTTTGTTCTTAAAAGCGCCTTAAAGGAAGATAATAAATATCTTGTTAAAATTTTGCATTAATTTTAATGTACAATATTATTAATTTGAAAAAAGATAAAATTTATAGATACTGCTCTGAACCACTAACAATGTAACAAGCCGAACATGCTAGATCACAGTAAGCTTTCAACATAATTTGCAATTACCAGGCAAATATAAAAGTTTAATTATAAATTTAAAAAATCGGCGTATCAAAATATTCATATTATTTAATACATTAAATAACAACTCGCCATTTTCAAGTCCTGAGAGCCTCGCATACCATTTTAAGAAATTAAAGGTTCACAAAATATAAAATTGGATAGAAACTATTAAAACATGCTTACAAGAATATACTCTTAATAATTGTTTAATCGGAATCAATAAAATGTATACTATAATAGTATAAACAATATAATAAATAGTTTATCTCATAATGTAAACTTTAATCAATATATAATAAAAAATATCAAAAATTATAACACGTTATGGTCATATGATATAGTTTATAAAGTTATGGTGTACGTGATTTGATGTTATACACGCATCAAAAATATTTTTGTAGAATTTCGCAATTTATAATATAAATTTGTTCATAATGATTTACCAACATTTCTGTTCACAGGCTGTATTCTGTGAACGGCTCCTAATATTGTTCCGATTGCTGCGTATACTTTATTATTTGTTATCAAATAATTGAGTAAAACCTTTTCTATGTATATTTAAACATTAGCTTACAGTATTTAATGTTACTTAAAATAAAATTTTGTATTTAAATTTCTGTTTTAAATATATAATTACAATTATTTATGAATGTATTATCTTATATAATTTATTTAATTTATATAATTATTTACCTTTAGAAGTTTCTAATTCATCTTGATCTCCTGAATGAAGATATGGATTATTGCATATTTCTTAGATATTAATAAATTAATTAGAATTTGTTCCGAAATATATAATAAACAATTAATACTTACTATCTGGAATATTAAAACTATTTTGTTTGCTATCAGCTAATTTTTTAAAAATAATTAAAATTTTAAAATTAAAAATTAAAGAAACTTAATTGGAAAATTTAATTTAATGACTTACATTGATTGGCATTTTTTGGTTCGGGTAAATCTTTAAAAATATGAAATTTACTAAATTTACTAACAAATGAACTAGTAGAGCTAGTATTAAAATTAACCTTTTCATTTGAATGCATATATTTAATATTAATACCATTTTCATCATTTTCATTTTGATAATAAGATTTGTCTATTTCTCTAATTATATCATTGAGGGTATCAATATCATATCTCTTTAATGGATCAGCATCCCAACATTGTACCATTAAATTTGCATATTCCAATGGAGTTCCTGATACGATTTTTGGTCTCATTCCATTCATTATATTCATTACAAGATCATAATTATGTTCTAAACCAACAAATGGTTGTTTTCCAGATGAAATTTCCCACATAAGCATACCGATACTATAAATGTCTGATGCAAAAGTATATCCTTTTCCAAATATAACTTCGGGTGCTATATAAGGAAGATTTCCATATATACTTCCTAATGGTTTATCAGCAGGGCCGCAAAATCCAAAATCACTAATACACCATCCACCATTATAATCAGAATATAATATATTTCCAGAATGCAAATCTCTATGAATAGAGTTTTCTTGGTGTATTCGTAAAATTGCATTAATTATGAACTTAAGTATTTCGATTCTTTGTTTCCATGTCAATTGATTATTATTTTGCTGTAAATAGTTTCTTAAATCAATATCGTATAATCTCATTACAAGAAAATAATCTTTATTTTTTGTATCCTGAGTAAGTCCATGACTATCAATGAAATTTCCCCATTTATTGCTTAAAGTCAATTGAGATTCTGCCTATAAAACAGAATAATTATTTTTATTTAAACGAAACTATAATTACTCATTCTTATAATACTTTAAAATTACATACCTCTTCAAACCAGATTCTGTTAGCACTTTCAATATTTTCTAATCTTTTGAGTATTACATTTTTTCTTCTGTGTCTTGTTAATTTTTGATCGATAGAATCCCATTTTTTCATAAGGACCATTAATCAAAACTGCTTTATAAATTTCAGAGCATCCATCTTTAGTTAAATATTCAATATTTTGAATATAGGATTATGGGATCCATTCAACTATTCTATATGGAAGAACAGCTTCTGACTGACATTTATGTATTAAATTATCAATTTTATCATTTCCAGATGTCCATTCTGAAAATTTTGTTTTTAAAGAACTTCGAATACAATGCTCACAATATGATGTTGCGAAACATTCTAGTTTACAATTTTCACAAACTCTTTTTATTCCTTGATTTAAGTTAATTTTATGGTAATCACGAGACTGAGTTATGAATTTTATTGCCTCTGATTTTTCCTCTTTTGAGAGCGATGAGTCCGTGCAAATAGTTTGTTGTTTAAATTCATACTGTTTGTCTATGTCTGTGTTATAATCAGTTAATGCGTCTGCTCTATTAATTGCAGCATAAACCAATTCTATATTAATAGAGGCCATAATAGAAAATGATTTCAGAAAAAGAAAGATAAACATGTTATATAATAGAGGTTGGAACCGGTTAATGTTAACCGGTTAATTAACCGGTTATATGGTTAACCGGTTAAGATATTTCATTAACCATTTAAAATGGTTAATCTAACCAGTTAAATTAACCAGATAAATTAATCGATTAAATTAACCGAATAAATTAACCGGATAAATTAACCGGTTAATAATCGGTTAAGGTTTTTTTTGCCGTTTCTCATATAATATGATCGACATACACTGTAGTACATCGTAAATTTGTACAACTGAGTTACATTAGAAAATGTAAAGTAAAATTGAGAATGTGACATTAACTTTATAAAAAGAAAATATAAATGTGATAAATCGAGTGAATAATAAATTTTGCGATTATCTTTTAGTATTCCATGATATATTCTTGAATTTTCCTAAATTTTATAAAATAAAAACCAAAGGCTTTCCATGCTATCGTATTTAATATAGGTGACAAATGTAATGTAATAAAACCTATTTTAATTCTTATCAAATAGTTTAAATAGTTTGCCCAAATATTTTGTAATATAATTACGTTACCCTCACATTTATAACAATTTGATCATAAAGACATTTAAGTTATTTTTGGTGAGAAAATATAAAAAATACTGCACGTGAAATTTGTTGTAATTGAAAGTATTTGATAATGACGAAACTTGGCTAACTTTCACTAAATTAAATGAACAAAGTTTAGGAAAAATTCTTTTTCTTTTAATATAAATATGTATAATTCATGACAAGTATTATATATGTATATTGGGATTTTAATGCAGCGTTTAAGTTAATAGTGCAAGACAATATCTTTAACTATCAAATATACAAAATTTACATGCAGGAGCAATTTGCGGTCACAATAGAATTTTCTTCGACAATAATTTTATTTACATATCAAGGAAAAAAATATATATAACGATAATATTATCGAAATACCAAAGAAAAAATTCTTAACCGACGCAATATAACCCAAATGCGAAGAAATCTATAAGTAAATAATAAAAAGAGAATTTTTTTCTTAATTTCGAAGCATGGGATTCGCATCTCATGATGGAATTTGCTTCAAAAGCGTTGTTCATGATGGAAATCGCTTCTGGAATGTTTCTCGTGATAGAAATTGATTTCAGAACGATTCTCATGATCGTATTTGTTCACGGAATGTTTCTCATGACATGATGAAGGATGTTTCTCATCCATGACAAAATGGCCCAAATGGCCCGTCGATTTCGAAATTTTACGTAGATTAATACTTTATTTTTTCTGTCAACATTTAAATGAACATCGAATTGATTTCATTTAAATAACCGCTACTTGATAATAAACAGAAACTTAAATGTAAGCCTACTAAATCAAATCTACAGACATACCTGAAAAAATAAATAACATACATAATACGTTAAATTGTCATTTTATACCTTGATTTAGTATTTTATTTTTTTTTCCTAGGAATTTTTATATTAAAATGTGATCTCATATTATGATTATAAATCTTATCATTATGAAAATCAAATTTTATTGGAATTTTCTTCTAAAGAATATAGCATCATACTACAATTTATTTTTCATTGTAAATTTTGTATAGTCTATTAGTCTATTAAATGTTTATTTTTTTTAACTAAATAATAGTAAATTATTCATAGCAACATAAAAACGTTCCTGGTCTAATCAACTTTGGCATATTGAAATACCTCACTTATTTAATCTTGACTATAAAATCATTTCTTCTGTAACTTTAGTATTTGGTAGATATTTGCTCATTACAAATGATAATATATGGTAAACTGACATCAATGAGCTCCAATCAGTCATATTTTCAACTAAATCAGATTATCGCCGCAGTCACGGATCACGGCTTCATCGTGAAGAAATGAACATGAATTCCCTAGAGATTTTGATTAAGGATGGAAGATGGACTTTTGGACCCATTACGTGAAACTATAAAAGCTGAAAAAGTTTAAAAGTGAAAAAAGAAGAAGAATCAAGAAAAGAAATTTACCAAATAAAGATATTGAACTCGTAGCACGAAAGAGATTAAATGACTGTGTTACAGGTATTTGTTTATGATTCTTTTTATTATTATTATTATTATTTTTTTTTTAAAAAAGATTTGTAATAAAAAATAAATTTTCTTAATAGTTCTTTTGAAGTGTTATTGAATATTCATTCTCACTAAATGATGAAGGTGAAGTATATTATAAAATCCGAGAAGATATATAGTTACCTAATAAATTTATTATTGAATTAGAAAGAATTCATAATAAATATCCTGATATAGAAAGTCAAATTGATGAAAAATTAAAATCACTACGACGTTTGGAAAAAAATTAAAAGTAAGATACATTTTATTTGCGATAATAGTTCAGAATATAATCAAAACGGCAGAAGAACCAACGTTGAAAGCGAAGAATCTACAATAATATTTTTTTATGAAATTTTCGTGGATGAAGAAACTTATTACATAAATTAATAAAAGAGTGAAAAAACAACAATCTGGCAGTTGGTTAATCTCTGAGACTTTTGGGATTTTGTGAATTTCACTAATACAAAAATTATTCGTGTCGATTCAAATGATTCAAATATCACAAAATATTTCCGATTTAAAATTTTTACAAGTTCTTACGGGTACAAAATTTTTGGTAATTTAATGAAATCAAAAAAAAATATCATAGATTCTTTCTTTGAAAAATACCAAAAATGGAGAAATAATTCTTTTATTAATAACATTAAAGAATTTTCTTTCAATAGACAATTAACAGAGAAGAATTTGAGCTAGAGAAAAAAAGAACTCATGAATTTGAATGAGTTTGTAAAATAATAGAAGAAAAATGTCAAAATGGGTTAGTTTGAATTAATTTTTATTATAATACGTATATTAATAAAAAGAATCTTATAGACCTATGCAGTATAGTAAATATAACGATGACAAATCAATTATTTGCAGTTTCTTAAAATGATTAAAATGCTATGATATTTATTATTAGACTGTTATTACAAGCCTAATCATTTCTAATTCTACCATGAGTTTAAAACTACAAAACCAAATCAGTTGCAGATAACTATTTATGAAACTTTATTAAATCAATTCAACTTCAAGATAATGAGCTTCATATTTCAAATATAACCTTACATTTACAATATAATTCTGATCAAATGTGGTTTCATTTTTTACGTTGATCCTGCGGTTTATGATTTCAGGCGATTATTAATATTTTTATTATGTTTCGCTTTTTATGATGACTGATATGATTAATTTAAATCGCAGGAAATTATCTCAAATTGATAACCGCAAATTCCTTGTGCTTTCAATAAAAAATGCAAAAAATTGAAATATTCTTTGATACTGTTCAACGGACGGTTAACACAAATTTTCAAAGTATCGTATCCGATTAAGCCATTTAAAACGATAAATACGGAGGACTATTTTATAATGAGCCGAAAGAATTAATTGCTATCTATAGTATAAAAAAGCTATGGTAAATATTATGTTCTTTTGATTATTTGTAATTTACATAAAAATGCAATTTTACCAGCAGTTTGTGACCTTCCAATCAATACCTAGTTTAGTTATATTTGTATAGTAATAGTATATTTTTATAAATAAAATTGTATCATAATGTAAAATTACGTTACTTTTCATATTAATGTTATATGATATTTATCATTTATGTAATTTATCGATTTAGATTAATTTTGATGATTTATCCATATTTATCCGCATTCGTCCAGTCCGATTTAATTACATCATGTGATATACTTTAAAAAATTTCCTGATGTAACCAAATTCAAACTCATAAGAATCTCACGAAAAAATAAAACTTTGATGGAAATATTTGTTAAATATTGCTATAATTGCTATAATTTTGAACGTAAGGATCCAACAAAAAAGAAATACAATTCTACGGTATTATGTATACACCGGTGGAATTTCTTATCACTTACTCCACTGGTTTATATTAAGTATCATTGTGTAATTATAAAAAAAAATTTATTTTAAAAACTTGCTTATATATATATCAGTTTATTAACATAACATATTTAGCTGTACTATGAATATGTATTTTTAAAATTCTGAATTCTGAATATTCCATATGAAGTTACGGATATCTGGGTTATGTATGGGTTATATAATAATCGCATGCGGCGCTTACGCGCATGTAGTTATATCTATATCCCGTGAATAACCTACACATCATATGGAATACCAAGTATATACAAGACACAAATATAAAAAAATTAATTGCGAAAATTGGATCATTTAAATAACTAATTTTTTATATAAATTTTTTTAAAAAAAATTTTAACCTTTTAACGAAATTAGATTAACAAGTTTTATGTTGCAACCGGTATCGGTTCCAACCTTTAATTCATTTACAGTTGGAAAGTAAATAATCGTTGATCAATTAATTGTCCGGAACAAAGCGGTGGATTGTAACTGTATTGACCGAATTTTTGTTAATTTCTTCCTTCCACTTCGTCACCGCCATCCTTTTATAGAATTTGTATTTTGGCTTCGCAACGGTCTTTAACGGGTTCAATTTCCTAGGTTTTTGTAGACGCTTTTAGGGTTTAAAGTTCTTTTGAGACCGGTGGCAATAATTAGGCGTAATATTTGTTCAAACATAAGAAAACTTAAATTCAGAATGTGAGCATCTATAAATTTTATTTCTTATTTTTGGTATTTTGAAGTATAAATTTCTTTATATTATAGATAATATATTTTATTCAATATATATCGTTATATGTTATTGACAACAAATTAGAGCTGTTGTATATCACATGGTTGTAATTTTCACCTCTAATTTCACGAGAGATAATTGTTAGTTTTTAAGTATTCTTGTGAACGAAAATGATAATTTGAAATTGAACGAAATGTAGATTAATTGAAATTATACAAAAAAGGATTTTCAAAGAATTAGAAAAGCACAGATTTATTTATTACTATACATACATAAGGGTCAACTATTACCACCTCTGCGACGGAGTCAATTGATTCTAGCGATCAGGTCATTCAAAACCTTTTTTTTTTTTAAAGCCTAATGTCAGTTGATTTAGCCATCGATGAAAATAGCAACAAAACAAATTTTTTAAAATTTAAGTAATTTTGCAAAAAGTATATAAATGACTCGAATTGAATTAATATTAGTCTTTTGCTCAGAGTTACAAATTCCATTCGACTAAAAATTTGAATCTATTATTTAAATGTGAACAGTTACGATGAACTCAGTCACGGCTCATTCATTTGATCATAAAGCAACCTTGCTTGATTTTTGCTTACCTACTCATTTGTATAAGGCACAAGTTTATTTATTAAAATATATCTCAAATAGGATGCACTATAATAATACCTAATATGCAATATGCATCTATAGACGAGTTCATATAGATAATCAATTTTTTTTTAAAATATGTTCAAAATAATTGGTCATGAAATAAAAGTTGACTGAAATTGATTTTAGGGTGTGATTCGAAGATACCAACTTCAGACAATATATTTAAACAATCATAATATGTCAATCAATTTGCAATTTCGTTTTCGTTAACTTTCAACTTAATTGTGTTAAACTAATTTTGATTCACCGGATTACCCACAGGTGGGGTCAATCCGGATAATTGTAGGCGGGTAACCCGTCGGTTAACCGTTGTGTCGAATATGAGAATAATTTATCGTGCAATATATCCTAATAATGAAAATTAAATCAAAAACATTTCATCTGTACTTATTCAATTTTAATATTTTGGGTTGATAAAATGCATTAACTGAATATTTTTCACGATACAATAATAAAATTTGATCGTGCGGTATTTTGTATCGGTATTAGCTTAAACAGTTCGTTGTTAAGTTAACTAAGATTATTTGCTAACAGGGAGTTTAAGTGCGTCTAAACTATGGAAGAAATAAACACGAATTAATTATGTTGAAGGGTCAGGTCGTCTTTATCGATATAGATTTAAAGAAGTATGAAATTGTATATTGAGCAAAGA